AGATACAGCCTCCAGAGGGAAGCGCCACCCTGAAACAGGCCTCTGAGGCCAAGCGCCACTCAGAGGATGAAGAAGAAGACCAGCGCCACAGTATCTGATGATGACGAAGTGTCGGAAGACTTCCCGGGTGGAAGTCTGCAGCAGCGCCACCAAACCCGAACAAGATGACATCTGAGGACGAAGCTGCAGCTATGGCTGCAGCGCCACCACCCTGGAACCCCACTCTGGAGGAGGGTCCAGCAGGGCACCAACTTCTCTCGCCTCCAGCAGACCTCGATAGCCCAGACCTCTGTCAGCCCCTGCGTGCTGGCATTGTACAGCGCAGGTCCCAGCTATGGCCGGCGCTCCGAAGGTCTGGCTATGCCTGTCTCCTTCCATGCTGCGCCGTCACCACTTCCGCTTCACGCGTAGCGCAGCAGCGATGTACTCGGTACCAACTGCCAAAACCCTGAGCCGATGTGCCCATTCTATCTATAGACTAACCTAGCCTAGATTCGACCTAGACCGGACTGACTGACCGGTACCGTTTCTGTTTCGGCCTCTCGGCCTCTACCGGACCCGGCTATAGGCTATAGGACCGTCTATCAGAATAGTCCCTTTGGGCCTGTCTGTCCTAGGGGTAGCCCGGGCCTGCTATTCGCAGTTAGGTTAGCGGTAGGGAATTCTGTTAGTACCTGGCCTTCATTTTTCCCGAATTTGCAGGTATGTCCCTCACGAATTTCCCTCACAGGTAGGTCTCTCGGTTAGTCCTCAGCCAAACAAAATTATGAATCTATCCTACCTATAGTACAGCCTCGACAGAGAGAGGCTACAGGCAACCAGAAAACAGCAAGTCATTGCACATTCATGCCCTCCCTCTGACAAACCTCGCACATTCATAATTGGCGGATGGCAATACTTAGCTGTACGTGTCTGCCCATTGGCTCAGCGATTCCCAGATTCTTCGACAGCACTTTGCCTCTGTGGTGACCGCGCCTCCTGCAGCACACATGGGTCCTGATGGCTTTCTGGACGCCTTACACATTGGCCTCTTTCTGCTCAGAAGCTGAGCATGGCTGTGCGCAACATCAGATGGATTCCTTGCAGATCAAAGAATCACAGTTCAGCTCGAATATGCTGTGGCAGGGAGGACAATTCCTTGATGCACTTACAAGAAATGGAGCTTTACCATGGCGGTGAGGAGCATGTGAATAATGCACCTGATATCAACTGTCTATAGGATCCTCACTGCTATGATATTTATACATTGTCCGATCTCCTGGCAAGCACATGCCAGCTTGATACCTTGAGAGGCAATATATTCGATCAAGGCGATGGGTTGTATGCCTGGCTACTTGAGTGTTTTTGCTCGGTTTTCCAAGCACAGAGAACTATTGATTAAAGGCACTATGATTTAGCCCATCTCACCGATATTGTTGACTTTCCATGCCCTATTGGCACACCACTCCTCTCCGTATCAGATGGTAACCTGACTTCAACAACAGAACAACAAGCCGTATCCATGGATTGTGTACTCCCTCATGTTGATGTGCAGGCTCGGTGGTTTTTGGCCGCGGACACCGTAGCGTATGCCAGCAACGCTATGATGGGATGGTTTTTGTAATAAGGTGCTTGGTCCACTGCTCTCCCGTGTTTCACCGTGAACATTCCCTACACAGCGTGTCCAGTTTACCGTCAAAGACTGTATGATGAATGTGTGCTTCTATGCTGAATTTCCTTCTCTCCTCCTTGACACTCAACTGACATGCCATCTGTTGAGAATGTTTTCAGGGCATGGTATCTGCCAGGGCCCGGGATGACTGTTGCTTTGACACTTCTGTGTTTGACTTACCTTGTCATCATCCCCACCATCCGCTTCATTCCTGTCCTTTTTGCCAGGAAGACTGATGTAACCCATGGTGCCCCCACTTTCTCATGCTGCTTCGTGTCACCTTATTATAAACTTAAAATTTTAAAAGGTAAAGAAGTAAAAAATCCTGAGAGTTTATATTAAAGACAAAAAGAAAGTATGTGCTTCCTTTCTCTCCTCTCTCTGTTCCTCTTCCCCCTTCCCCCTCTTTCCTTCTAGAGGCTGTCTTAGTTTTTAGTTTTGTGACCATGTATTCATGCGTGTTTTAATGCTGCCCGGTCTTCGTTTGCTCCTTTGATATAGGTTCAAGGGTAACAGTATGGACCCTCGTCACCACATCACATTACATCAGCCCTTCTAATTTTATTGTTGAGCCTTTTTATGTGCTGGCTGTGGGAGGGCGTTGTGGGAAGGCATATTGACCCTCTTTTCCAGGCAGCTTGTAGCAAGTCAAACTGGACGACTGAGATTATTTTATTTCTTTCTTTTCTTTGTTAAAAGGCTAATTCTTTTAAGCCCAATGAATTCAATCATCTGTCGAATCCGACAGGGAGTCCTTTCATTCCTTTTTTTTTATCATTATACTATTTTGGGGAACCCCGTAGCAGCCAGCCCGAGTTCAAGCCTTTAGTGAGCGAACATTCGGGGGCTGCACCTCACCTGCAGGTGGGCAATACCGGCCAGGAGTCAGCCAGTGGCATCAGGATAGAGCTTCTTCGATGGGCCAGTCACTGTGCCTCCACTTCGTCCCCTCCGTCTAGGAACATTAGCGATCTCAATGCCCGCTTGGGGGGGCCAATGGCCTATCTCTAGGTGGCGAGCGCCAAGCTTGCCGAGGAAGGTACATGAGGCGAAGGGGATTGAACCCAAGACCTCATGAATGCCACTTGCGTGCCTGACCAACTAAACATTGTAAAGGTCCCGCCGAAATGCCCGATCGCGGGCCCAAGGGAAACCCGTGGAGGGGTGGAACCGGGTAGGGGAACCGTTGTAGGGGCGAGGCCCAGGCCGAGGCGGGCAGGGAAAAAAGAACCGGGTGAAAGCCGACGAGGGTGAGCGCAGGGCGGATGCGAGGTCCAGGGGGGGAAGGCCCAGGCCGACGCACACAGCGGAAACCGAAGCGGGCCAAGGGGCAGCGTGGACCCGTCCGACGCGGCAAGCTGTGCGGGGGGGGCGAAACTGGAGGGCCATTTGACGAAATCAGTGCCGCGCGGCATACCTGTCCAACGTGGCAAGCTGTGCGGGGGGGCGGAACTGGATGCAAACGCGGTGTGGTGTATGATGGAGACGGGAGAGGTGTGTGCCAAGGGACGAGGGCATTGAACGAGATGTGCTGTGTGATGGAGGAGGATAGGGGATGGAGGCCGGCGGAGGAGGAAGGAGCATGCCGACCATGGATCGTGAAAGAGAGGAAGAGAGAGAGAGAGAGAGAGAGAGAGAGAGAGAGAGAGAGAGAGAGAGAGAGAGAGAGAGAGAGAGAGAGAGAGAGAGAGAG